TGGTAACATGAGCTGCACGTTCACCAAGTGATTTACAACTTGTAATTGGAATTATTAGTTAGACACAGTCCAAAGGGCAATAAAACAATAAACTCATATATAAACAGATGTATACTGTTACGAGTTATAGTATGGAAACTACAAAAGTTATTTTATGGTTATTATCTCAGTCACACCAATCAAGCCTGTAGCAAGAGTATTCATTTGCTCCATCTATACTACTTTATCATATTCTTCCCTCATTCTTACATGACATTTTAAAATAAAAAATATAGTTTACATTCCCATTCTCTTGCCTCTATAATTATTTATTGCATCATATATTGAACCTTTCCCTTCTGAAAAGCTTACAGTTCACTAAAAGGTAGCAAGATGGTTTTGAGCCCTCCTGAAAAGATGTGGGAAGGCATCCCGCCTCATTCTGCCCCACTTCAAGCAGCTGTATCTTTATAATATAGTATATGTGTTCAAGAATCATGAGTATACAACTAGCATATGTGATTACACATTCTACTGCATCCTGGAAGTGTAATAACATTGTGCTTATTCCACTGTGTCAGTGTTCAATAGGAAATGACTGTTTTGTCATGAATATGTCAATACTGGATCCTCCACTAAAGTAAGCTTTGGGGATCAGCATTGCCACTCACTCCATCCCAAGTGCATCTCAGTGCTATCTTGAGAAGTTGGCCATAAATCATTGGTAATATAACATAAAACCAAGTAAACTGCAGACTTATCCATTAGTCATAGGTTAATGTCATTCTCTCACTGCTTCTATCTTAGCAGGGTCTGTAGAAATTCCATCTCAACCAACAATGTGATCTAGAAATTCCATATCTGTGCATAGTTTTTTCATTTCAATTTCAAGGCCTGCTTTCTTTATCAGCAAGAATACTATTCTCAGGTTCCCATATGCAAATTTGAACATGCAACCAAACACCAACATATACCATGTTGCATACCCTTCAGTGTAAGCTCCATTAGCCTCTTAAAAGTAGCAGCTCCATTCCACTGGCTAAATGGCATTATGCAGGACTCATTCGAGCATCTCTCTTGGTGAAAACAATCTTTGGTCTACTCAACCAGCTGGACTGGCCAGATTTAAAGTGTTTAACCAATAGACACTTTTCAACGTGTCCAGACATTTTTCTGTTTGTGACAAGTGGAAGTCATCGAAGTGAGTTACCTCGTTCACCTGTCTAAAATCAACACAGAATCTTGATGAAACCTCCCGTCTATCTGACTATCATTACTTCAGATAACTAGTCACTCTCTAAAGGTTGTATGGTTCCATCCCTAAACATCCATATATATCTCAGTGCTGGCTAGATTTGTTGTGTTCCAGGTAAGCCAGAATGACAGTTGCTTGGTTGGACATGTGTTATCTGAATGTTATGGTGAATTACTGTTGTTTGATCCAATTGGATCCACAGATACAATGACATATTCAAAAACAAGTCATAGATTTGCTTTTGTTGTTCTGGGTCCAGCTTGTCTGCATAATCCTCAACCACTGATATCAGATGTTTTTGCAGCTGTGTACTTGCTTTCAGATGTGGTAAAATAAGTTTAACCCTAGTATCACCATTAGACTCAGTTACTTCCACTTTTCTTACCATACTGATGACTTCAACCATAAAGCTGGATAGCTGATTGCCCCTGATTACGAAGAAATACCAGGACTTCATCCTTGCTTGGACAATATAATTCTGCTTCCTTACTGAATAGAAAACAGTTTGTTTCATCTGTGGACTCTATAACCATGTTACATGGCATCAATGTGCTAGATGTTGTCTGCAATAAACTGTGGGATAATATGGAGGAACTATTATTCCCTCCAATTAATACATTTGTGCAGTCCACTGTTCCTTGGCAATAAGATGGCTAACATTACATAACTTTCTGTGGAACCTCATTTCACCAGCTGCACAGGCAAAACTGACTAATTATTTCTGCATCCATCTCGAGGTTGTAAGTGCCAGAACCAGGTCAGAAATGATTACCTTCATTCTGTGATCAACATCTCCTAGACACAGTCTCCCCTTTGATGTTTAGCCTATTGTAATTTCCCAGAACCAAGTTTATAACAACTGGTAAAAGTTGTGTTTTCACATGGAGGGCCTGATACACTGTGAGATTTACCAGCTTTCAGGCCACTTCTATGTTAATAAAGAAGTCGATCTCCTGTCCTTGTATCCTTATAGGCACACACTAAGTTCCACCCAACCCTGAGAGAGCTATGCTACCATGAAACGTTTTGGTGCAAGATGTTTTCCATGCTCCTCCAAGTTGTTGGTCAGGCCAGATTTGAGATATGTTAGTTATCCAGAGCTGTAGTGACAACATTTACCACTTGCTTTTGGTTCTTCTGGAACTGCTAAGTCCCTAGTCAAAATTGACACCTTTGTCAACCATGCTACTTGACATAGAATACACAGTGTTGGTTCTCCCTCACTTACTTAACCATTAGTCGAAACCGATATTTTCTGAACTATCAAGTAAAGTTTTATTTTAAAATGTATCCTTAGGATATTGAATGATAGCTGCTTGATTAGCACAGTTAGGACAGTTAGAGTTGCTGGATGTAATCCTTAGACCATGAACTGTTTACACAACTGAATGATGGCTAGAAGATCTAAAACTCAGCTGAAAGCACTTTGTGGTTCTAGCTTTCCAAGCTCTCATGTGTTTTTTCCCACATTTCACTATATCAACCTGATCTGATTTATTGGCAAGAGCTTTATGAATAATGTTGCCTAGTCCTTGCTAGATCTTTTCTTGTACCCAAAGTGAGGAAGTTGTGTTTCCTCTGAATGTATATTGATTTATTGCCTGTGATGTAAGGAATGTTGAATATAAACAGTCTGGTAAATGATTTCAGCCTGTTGAAGATAACTGATCTAACAGAAGAGATCATAATGTGTACGTAAAGTACGTATGCACACTGTGTTTGTGAACGAATGAAGATTGCTTACTTATATTTTGCATTGTATCCAGTCTCTTTTTTTTCAGATACATAGAGATTCGGTACTACTTTATAACAATGTTACGTCTCCCCTGTGTTGAAG